ATTTGCTGGGTTGAGAGAGCGCGGTTCTCTCCCACGAGGGGCTTTGCCCCTGGAAACGCTCCCGGCGCCGGAGCGGGATGGAGCGGGGTGCGGGGGCCGCGCTGGCCAGCGGGAGCGCGTCTGACGGCAGCCGCCCGGCTCCGGGTGCGCAAGGACGCGAAGGAGTTAAACCAGCCACCCCAGGACCATCATGTCCAGCGTGATTCAGGCCATTTAATTAGTGTCCCATGCTCGGTAGTTCGATAGTGTTTTCCCCCCGGGGAGAAGCGCACCGGCTCACATATATTGCCTGTTATCTTTCAAGTACTCAGAGCAGAATGCTTTTTCAGTAACCTCATCAAAGGATAAGCCAGGATTCAGATAAGCTTTTCAAGGAGGAAGTCAGGGTTATAATTTTCAGAGACTTCTGAATGTCACCTCCAATTTTCGGATCCGCCGTTGGAGCGGCCGTTGTTGGAAGCCACCCAGCCTCAGATATTGAAATGGGTGACCTGTGGACTCGGGCCTCCTCAGTTCCTGGTCATCGTCAGTCTGGCAGATCCCGGAGTTGAAAGTGCTTGAGATTTCTGACTTTATAATAACGCGGTTTCTCAGAAGTGCAAATTACAGAGGAATTGGTGCTAAACTCCCCATTAACTATAGAGCCCGAGAAATCCTCAGTGTCCCAAATTACCTGTCACTTTCTCTGTAACACGGCATAATTCTGTCGTTTTAAAAAAAAGAAAAAAAAGAAAAAAAAGAAAAAAAAGCCATAATTTGACATTTCAGTGAAATTCCTAATTGTCTGCGCAGCTCTCTTCGCGAGCGTGCCGTTCCTCACCTCTCAACTGCAGGCCAGCGGGTGTCCGGCACGCCACTGCCACTGGTTTCTCCCCTGGGCATTGTGATGCTCCCCCGAGCCCTGCGTGGGACCCCGCCGGCGATGCTCCCCCCTTCGTCGGTTCTTTAGGGTGCTGGGGACCCGTCAGCAGCGAGCGTGGGGACAAGGGTGTTGTCAGGGGCGTCCAAGAGTGGGCGAGCTTGGGGCTTAAACCTGCTGGAGGGAGAGGGCGGCAGGAAAACTCCAGTCAAGGCTGATTTCAGGGTTAAACCAGCTGCTGTGCCTATAATATACCCACGTCTCGCGGGAGAAATTAGCTTATTAGGAAGGATTTGAATACGGGAATGTGGGCGGTTTTCCAGAGGAGGAGATGGAGGACAGATACAGCCAATGGCACCAGCAAGCACACAAGGCATTGGGCTTCGAACTGGTGTTTGGAGGGAGGAAAGGCTTCGGGCTGTGTTTCTGGACCACGTTTTTACCTTTCATTCACGACCGCAAGATCTTCACCAGAAATTACCCAGACCAATTAAAAAGGACTTTTACAGAAGCGTGGGGGGGAGAAAACCCCTAGAAAAAGCAACGACCAAAACGTTTTCTTCTTCCAGCGAACGCCCGCCGCGAGGGACAGCGAGCACGTCGCCGGAGCTGGCGTTGGAGAGGCGGTTTCTGCCTTGAGTTTTGGGTTCTGCCGCGCGCCTTTGGCCAGGCTGGCGCAACGCCCGGCCAGCCCGGAGCCGGGGGGCTGGTGGTCCCGCGCCGCGGGGGACCTCCCCCCCCCTGCAGCTTTGCCTCCTCCACAGCCGCAGTCGTCTCTCCCCCTTTGTTTTTCCGATGCAATTCTCGTAACTTCAAAGCGCCTGGTTTGGACTTATCCCAGCAGGGGAAGAAAATTGGGTCCCTGGAGTCCTTTTGCAAATGCACTCTCGCTTCAGTTTTCCTCCCCCTAAATGGCAGCACCGTTACACTGCTTCGTCTGAGAGATTTCCAGCCCCGTGTAAGTGTATAAATCCAGCTCATCTGCACTTAAAAACTCCTGCCGCAGTTAGCGTCAGCACTCCCAGGCCTAATTGCTCTCTCCGGCCTTAACTCGCCATCGATTTGTTGTGCCCCATCCCCTTGCCCGGCGCTCACCGAAGGGGTTTCCCTGGCATCAGTTAGCCCATCGAGGTGGCCACTGGCCCAGCTGATCCCACTCTGCTATAAATGCCGGGGGCCGAGCAGCAGCTCCCTTGGCTGGGCTGGGCTGGGCTTGGCTGTGCTGGGCTTGGCTGGGCTTGGCTTGGCTTGGCGCTGGTGCTGCTCTCGGGGATGACCACGACGAGTTGCTCATGATCCCGCGTCTCTCGCTGCGTCGGCTGGTGAGGGGTGTCTGGGCCGGGGTCCCTCGGCAGGGGGCTGTAACCCAGACTGCAAACCTTTGGCAGAAAAGGCTCGCGTGCCGGTGCCTGGCCGTGGCGGCGGGCTCTTCCACTCAGCGCTGTCTTGTCGGAGGTCTGTGTGCTGGCGCTGGAGTGGCTCTTTGCCCTGCGGTGCCGTTCAGCTCTTAGCCCCTGGGGAAGTGTTTCTGGCTGTAAAAAGCTGTAAGCTAAAATCTTGGCAAAAACCTGGACGTGGCTGAGGCGATCCCGGTGAGACGGGGCGGGCGTGTGTCCTGGCAGAGCCCCCCCGCGCCCTCCTGCTGCTCCCGCCTGGCCCCGGTGCCCGCGGGAGGGCTCGGGAGCAGCTCCAGGATGGGATCTCAGCAATGGCTGGGTGCCTTGCCTTCCCCTCTGGTTTTTTTTTTTTTTTTTTTCTCCTTCCCTCCCGGCTGAATCAATAATTAAGCATATTCTAAGTAGTGCAGTTTTGCTTGAAATTTTCCATTTGCCTTGTGCATTAGTTCGAAATGAAATATTTAGAGGACAGAATATCGTAATAAAGCTAAGACACATTTTCTGCTAGAATATTTTATTTATTTTGTTTAATAATGAGGTTCTGTGTCTGTCTCTACCCCCCTCTGTATCAGTGGCTTTTTCCTCTTCCCCTTTCCTTTGGAGGCAGAGGATAATATCCCCCTTTTAAAAAAATAATAAAGTCTGGCTTGTCTAACAAATCAGGTCCTATGCTCTGATGTTGTAAGTGTTCAGAGGAGTTTCCCAGCAGGCCTAGGGAGAGGAGTAACCCAGCATCTCCGCACTGATGCTCCTGCTAACCAATGATTTGTCTGCAAGGGCAAAGCAAAAGGGATTCCTTTACTTAAAATTATTTGCTCCCCGGTGCGAAACCCTTAATAATTCCCTGGGAAGAGAATGGATCCTTCCCACGCGGGAGCACAACCCGCCCGCCCCATCTCCGCTCTGCGTCTCTGCATTTCCACCGGTGAAATATATTCCGACTCGTCTGGGGCCTTTTTCTTACCTCTCTCCGTCCTGTCAAGAGGTTTGCAAGGATTTATTCCCCGGAGAATCTCCTGACTACATTACCGATGCTGATGGGGAAGCAGGGAGAAGGGGCTGAATGCTGAGGACCTGCCTGGGGAAGGCTGGAGGGCCCGAGGCAGCTCCCAGCCTTTCATGTGCCGCCGCGTTTTCCCAGCTGGTCCCAGTTCCCTCAACTGGTGTAGGCGGGAAATGGTTGCGCCGTCCTAAGAAACTCTTCGCGGCTTCAGCCTTTTTCCCCCCCTATTCTGCTTCGGGGATGTAAAAGCAACTGTAAATCCCTCAAATAGAAATTACTCGAAAGAAATTCATATCATGTACAGCGAAGCGCTTCATCCCCACAGCTTCAAAATATTTCACTGAGATTTTGATCTTTTCTTCAAAACCTGTTTACAGTTGAAAAAAAATAAAAAAAGTGTGTATGTATTTGAAATTGTGTATGTATTTGAAATGGAGTATTTCTCACCAGCAGCCTAGGTGTGTAGGAGCTCTTCTTGTCTGAAAAGCCGATGAAGCTTTCCAGCAAAGGAGAGCAGCCCTGAGCTTCCCGCGCTCCGGGCGGGACTCGGAGGCAACCGGCCGCGCCGGCGCTTGGGGCGGGTTTGCTCGTGCACGTGTTCTGCCGGGTCTGGGCCGTGCCCGGGCCCTCGTTTAACCGAGGCTTCGTCAGGGCGCCGCGGCCAGAAGGGACCCTGGTCCCACCCAGGCTTACGGCTGGTACTGCCGGTCCCCGAAGGGTCTCGGTCATTGCGTCTGCTCTCCAAAGGTGTGATTAAATAAATTGAAAAAATAAATAGCAAACTGAAAAAAAA